CCCCCCTCTGTGACCACCGACATGTTGAGAATGCTATTGTGTCAGCAACACATGGCCGCTATAGAAACGCGCCCATTGTTACAGTGGGCTTATGTTCCTCACGATTTTTTTTTTTTAACAATAATATATTCATGCTTCCTCCTGTTTTTGCAATAACACATTCATGTTTCCTCCTAGTGTTATACAATGATATAATTATTCACGCTTCCCCCTATTTTTAGCTATTTTTGCAGTACATGGTGATTATAAGAAAACTGACCTATTTTATGACGCATTGTTTCCGTTCTCGAACACCGTTGTGAAATGAGCCACTAACCATTTGAAAGAGGAATTTTCTAGCTTCGGAATACAAAAGAATGAACCGATTATATGACACCTTGCTTCATTCAGTTCTCAAACACTTTTTTTGGAACGAGACAATGATGATATTCTGAAAAAGGAGTTGTCTGGACTGACTGTTGGATAGTCGTCACAATGGGTGTTCTTGTCGCCTCGCTCTTCCATTGACGGAGAAAATACTCTAATACTCTAAGGTATCGAATAAACGGACGGGGGGTGGGGGTGTTAGAATAAACGGGGGGTGGGGACAAGTGGTCCCAAATTAATAAACGGGGAGTGGGGGGAGGGGGCATGGAATAAACGGGGTGTGTGGACAAGTGGTCCCAAATTAATAAGTCGGGGGTGGGGGGAGGGGGCATGGAATAAACGGGGTGTGTGGACAAGTGGTCAAAAATTAATAAACGGGGTGAGGGTGGGGGTGGGGTGGGGGACCCATTCAACCTCATACCCCTGTACTTGTAGGAACAAATCTGTTTCTTTTTTCCTTTAGTGAATAAAAGAACAAGAGATCACGAAATTTTGTGACAACTTTTCCCATTTAGGAACAAACCAGTTTCATTAAAAAAATATATAAACCAAAGTACAATTTTTTTTAATGCACAAAATTGGGTAGCCAACCCAGCACCGGTACTAATACTCAGGGAAATTTTGCCATTAACAAAAAAATAAGTTTCATTCAGATATCTAGATTCTAGAATATAATGTTTCACATGATCGTCGGTCGTGGCGAGCTGGAAAATAATAAACGGGGGGTATGGAATAAGGAGTGGGGGAAGGGTGCGCAAAAAAAGAAAGTTAATAAAA